CCTTCCAGCCAGAACTAATCAAGTCTGTCACTTGGAGTAAGTCACACACCTCCATAGGTATTTCCCCATTTGGAAAATGGGACCAATAGTCTCTCTCCAGCATAATTCTAGGTACTAAAAATAATGTTAATGGAATAAATAGGTAAAATATTTATTAGCTGTTACTATGTGCTAGATTTCTCATTCTTGGTAGCCACCCTGTGACGTGACTAGGTGTTATTATTCACTCTGCGCTAGTGAAAAAACTGAGGTTCTGAGAGGTTAAGCCCTAATTCAAGATCACATACCTAGTTAAGTGGTTGGTCTGATTCTCCCAGAGTGGGAGAACCCAGCTGGACACAAGCCTCCCCGACATCCTGTAAGCCAGGCACCCTACTGGGCCACCAGACAGGGACACACTCAGACACACTAGGTGGCTGTGCAGGGCATAAGGCGGGGGTGGGGGGTGTTCCCAGCTGGTTTTTTTCAGGCTCTGAATAGCGTCTTTTTTGGTTCCAAATACCCTCCAGATTATCCCCCCCAACCCCCCGCATGCCCTCGAAATACCATTGTTCTTTATGTACATCATTACATGAAAGAGCTTCCAGGCTCCACATGACACCATGTTGCCTCCTTAGGCCGCTCATGGATGCTTGGCAGGAAGGGAGGAGCCCCACAAAGCCAAATTCATCACCGAAGGAAGCTTTTAATCACAGGTGTTGGGTTTGTTCAACTTTACTGGGTTTTTGAGGCAAGCATGTGTGATTCTTTGAGGCTGGCCCATTAATTCTCAAGCAAACAGTTTTTGTGCCCAAGGAGGTTTGGTTCTCTATGGCCTTGGAGTGATCAGCAGCTATGTCACACCCAACCCTCACATTCCCCACTGCCCAGGCCAGGAATTGCGTTGCAGACTCTTCTGTATCTGATGGCTGGTTTGCCAAAGCTGACCATTGTAGTGGGTCCCCCATCCATGGAAAAAATTATTAATGAAATAAATCAAGCAATTTTTTTTTTCTGGGAGACAAACTGAGGCTCCCCTAAGGCAGTGGTTCTCATCCTTCCTAATGTCTCCTAATGCAACCCTTTAATATAGTTCCTCATGTTGTGGTGACCCCCAACCATAAAATTATTTTCATTGCTACTTCATAACTAATTTAGCTACTGTTACTGTTATGAATCGGATATGCAGGATGGATTTTCATTGTTACAAAGGGGTCGCGACCCACAGGTTGAGAACCCCTGCCCTAAGGGAAACATTTGTTTGAACTCTGTGAGTTTAGGTTTTGATGTTTCTGCTCTGCATGATGAAAAATAATAATACTGTTAATACTTCAGCCTTTAGAACAAAGGTTTTGTTTCCCCCTTCTCTGAAATCTACATCAGGCCTATCATTTCTTCGTCTTTAAGCTCTGTTTAAATTTCTGAGTATTGAGCCAGAAAGAGTGTATTTAAGTACTATTTGAAGAGTTTCTAATGCCACCATCTCAAAGGCGCTAATCCACTTGGAGTAGTTCTTACTATCCACCCCCCTGGCAATGGGGTCTAAGAGCTTTTTCCCCTTGGCTGACATTGACACTTCTTAAAGGAGGTGATGTTTGTGAGCGTGGTGCAGAGCTGGAGGTCTGGAGGCTGGTCATATTTCATAACTGGTCTCAGTTCAGACAGAAACTAGCCCATTTTCACAAACCAATTTAGTTCTTTGCTGGGAAGATAATCCGAAAAGCACTGAGCTGTGAAAGGGAGCTCTTACAGTTAGCAACAATGTATCTATTATGAAGCTCCTATTGGAGATGCTCCACGGCCTTCAGAGGCCCAGAGAACTGTGTGCTGCTCTGTGACTTGGTGCTGGGCTGGCTGATGGCTGCGTAAGAGCCATCTATAGAGCTTCTAAAACACAAATTTGGTGGCTGAGAGCAAGGAGCAGGAATATGTATTTCTCTAATGTACACACCCGTTTAGAAGCAAGCCTAGGACTGCCTCACATAATTTTGCAGTACTGTTAAAACAATAGATTACAACTGATTTCCTTTTTTTTCTTAAAATTGCAATTTTCTGGCCACTTCATATAACTTTCTGACTCAGATGCCTTTCCCTCCTGTCAATGTAGTATAGTGATGTAATACAACCTCCCAGTCCCACCCTTCAGCCATTCATTTAACCAGTATGTAAGAGCTGGCTAGGATGGGGTCCAGGAACTAAGATAACAAAATCAAGATCAAAAGATACACGGTTACAGGATTGAAGGAGTCTTTGGCCTAGTAAGGAGGTAATTGAACAATAAATCAGCTGTAGTAGAATACTGTAATGGTTTCAACTAAATTGCAGTGGAAACAGGTGAAGTGTTTGGAAGTCAGTTGATGGATCTTGGGAGAGAAAGCCTTTGACGGGAGGTCTGCCGAGGAGAAGATGGCTGCCAGATGCCAGGTGAACCCATGGGAAGACAGAGAGGACATTTTTGCAGAGGCCTAGTAGCCAGAGAGCTTAACATGTGACAAGAACTGCATCTTTTTTTGCTTGCCCACTGCATAAAAAACAAGACAATCAATGATAGCAATGGGGTAGCCATATTGACAGAGACCAGAGCGTGAGGGGCTGATAGTAACATATCACGGGCATTTGTATTTGACCTCATTAGCACATCTTTCTTGCCAATATGTAGGTTTTTTTTCCTAAACACCTCATTTATCTGTACCTTTAAAAAAATCTTTTCCCTTGACATATATGACATGACGAAATTCTTACTCTCACGCAATACCTTGGAAGCAGGGAAGCTGAAGTGGGAATTGCCGCTGTCCCACCTGAGACCCTGCCTTCCACTCTTGTTTTCTGACCCTTTTCATTTGTGAAGCCAGGAGTCAGCCTGTCTATGGGTTCTCTAGGTGTCCTCAAACTATGGCCCACGGGCCACATGCAGCCCGCCTAGGACATTTATCCAGCCGCTGCCACCGCTGCCTGTCCTACTTAGCAGCCGACTCGTCCCAGGGCCCGCAGTCCGGCCCTCCAACCATTTAAGGGACAGTGAACTGGCCCCCTGTTTAAAAAGTTTGAGGACCCCAAGCTAGTGTATTCCAACAGGGGTCAGGGAATTGGCGTCAAGGGAGAGATGACCGTGGTTAGCCCTGAATCTGAAGTCTTCCTGCCCTGGACCCCTGGATCAGCACAAGCAGAACTGCCCTATTTACACAGGTCTTCTCTCCTGTGCTGGCGAGCCTTCCACGTGTTGGGTCTCAGTGTCTTTTCTTTCAAACCCCGATTCTTATCTATCCCAGAATGTTTAGCCTGCCTGCCCCCCCACCTCATCTGCCACTTTGTTCCTTGAACCGTAAGCTCCTCCCACATCGAGGCTTTTCAGGTTTTCAAGGAAACAAAACTCATTGCTACCTCAGAACCCCTCCACGTGCTGTTCCTTCCACCTGCAGGAGTTCTCCACCCTCACTCCCATCTCTTCCTTGAAAAGACCTTTGCCAGCCTCTCTGTAAACAAGCCCCAGAGTCTGTGACACTTAATACCGTTTCACAGTGTTTTGTTTTGTTGACTTCCTTTGTTTCTTTATGGCCACACTTCCCCTTGAAGTTTCATAAAAGCATTGACCTGTTGTGATCCATTCACAACTGTACCCTCCTCACCTGTTTAATAATAAATATTAGTTATTTGCTAAATGAGTGGATAGATAAGCCATGGATGGATGCAGTTGAAGTCTCTTAAGTTGAATTCCTCATAAAATCTAGCCTATTATGAACAAGATAGCTTCTTTATGTTTGTTCTTAAGTTGAATTTCGGTGTAAGTTGAAACAGGTCTTACCTGTAATAGCTGCTGTTCGTAAGTGCGAGTCACATGTCAGTTGGATGTTTGTAACTTGGGGACTGCCTGTGTCCTTCTCTTACACTCTAGTCTAAGCTCCATTCTTTTAATGAAATCCGTGATCTCTAGTGCTGGCCCTGCTTTATGCCTTTCCTGACTTACCTATGCGGTCTATGTTTATTTTGTTATTACCTGGATCAAAACTTTTGTAGTGACCTGTGTAACTTGGGACTCTTCCCGTATGGTTTCCAGTTGGATCACTTACCCGAATTACATCTAAGTTATAATTTTTCAAAGGATATGATTTTTCTTATAATCAAAGCAATATGGAAATATACTCAGAAAATGTGAGAAATTCTGGGTGCAATGAAGTAAGTATAAATCATGCACAGTTTTTCCACCATGAGTGAAATATTATAGACATTTTGGTTATTTTTTTTTCCATCTGGTGATTTTCTTTTATATTTCACAACTTTGAGGGCATTTGTGCATTTAAGGGCGGACATAAAGTTCGTGTGCACTTTGCTATCTTAAATTATTTTAAATTGCACACAAACTTTATATCCACCCTGTGTATGTATGTATGTATATGTATACATACATACACACATATAAATACCCTGGATCTCAAATATAACAGGATCTGAGCATGTTGTCATGTCATTGTAAATTTTTTTTTTCTTTGCAATTTTTGGCCTGGGCTGGGTTTGAACCTGCCACCTCTGGTATATGGGGCTGGCACCCCAATACTTTGAGCCACAGGTGCTGCCTTCATTGTAAATACGTTTAAAAACTGGCTTCATTGTGTGCCTAGTCCTAAATTCTATGTTTGAGAATCACCAATGAGTATCAGCAGAGTCCCAGACAGTGCTAGAGACTGAAGTATCTATTGTCTCATTTTAATATTTAGTGCCTACTACACCAGAAAAGATACTGTAATGAGTCTCTCACTTACCTGAGTAGCTGTGTTTCCCAGTGGCGCTGACAGGTTTCAAAAGCAAGAAGTAAAATTCTGGAATAATTTGAATTAGAGGTAAACAAAGACTGAATCCCCAAGTAAATATACCTAGTTCAAATGTTGAGTACATGAGCACACAGACGTCTTTAGTAAATGAGTTTCTCCTAGAGCTCTAGATGAATGAATTGGGAAAAGCTTATCAGATCACTCTTCTCTGAAATCCTAGCTATAAAAATGACTCATGTTTTCCTTCTTTTCTAGAGTGACCGTCTCCTTATCAAGGGAGGCAGAATCGTCAACGATGATCAGTCTTTTTATGCCGATATTTACATGGAAGATGGCTTGATAAAGTATGTATATAGAACCTTTCTCTTTCTCTTTTTGTATTTCCTTTCTTCATTGGCAGCCCAGAAAGCAGCTTAGATTTCACAACTTATTTTTCATAACATGAAAAATCTGAATTCCATCAACAGAATGATGCTGAAGGCCTCTTTGCACAAGTTGTCTGGATAGGCACTCTGTGGGCTGTGAAAAAAGTGGGAACATGGCCACTGACCTTAAAGATACTGAAAAATGTACACAAATTACAGCACCCTAAAAATGTTAGATCTTGTGTAATAGATATTAACTGTGTTGAAATCAGTATAAGTGATTTTGGAAGTACACAGAAAGGAGAAATCCATTTAGACACAGGGTATTAAAACTGAACCTGGACATAAGAGTAGGACTTAGATGGGTAGGGCACAGATACGTAGGTCACTACAAAAGTTTTGAGATCAACTGTGTTATTGTCCATTATTTCACTTCCAAAAAACACAGTCAATAGCATCCTTTTTGATTCACCCATGCAAATTTTGACCTGCTCATCATTGTTGCTGGGAGAGCTTTATTTCTTTCCATCCACATGGATTTTATGTTTCTTAATTTTTGTGTATCTCCAAACTTTCATAATGACCCATGGAGGACATGCATTTCAGAAAAGATTTCCAAATAGTCTTATTAGGAATGTATTACTTTATAAAATGGTTTGCTATTGGATGCCCATCAGCAGCATAGCCAGTTAACTTTTATATGTAGGTTCCATACACAGAGGATTTGATTTACACCATTGTACACCAAGTAAATCAAAGCACACCACCACACTGAGAAGTGTATGTTGATTGAGACCTAAGAAGCCAATCCATCTTACTGGCTACCTTTGGCCTCTTCCAGTTTTATTTTTATGTCATTGAACTTCATTGGCTAGTTTAAGATTTGGTTGATAGGAGCTCCCCTTGACTTCAATATAATTAAATTTTCTGCAGGCAGATGTTCTTTACCAAGTCCCAGGTCTAGGCTAACTTCTCTCCCTATGTGCTCTCAAAATACTATTTGCTCTTCTCAGTCACAGCAATGCTGGCACACTTAGCCTCCCTGAGAGCAAAGATAATATCTTGTTCATATCCTCAACACCCACTCCTCAGCACATAGAGATTTGATAATAGCTGCCTTTTATTGAGTGTGTAGTATGTGCCAGGCACTGTGTTAAATGTTTTGCATGTCTTTATTTCATTCAGCCAGCCAGCAATGCTATGAATCAAGTACCATACTATTACTGCCTTTTTTCAGATGAAGAAAAAGAGGCACAGATAGAGTAAATAACTTGCTAACAGTCAACATATTAGTCAAATACATTGAATGGATGAGTGAATGAAAGAAGGAACAAATGTAAGACCAAGCAAACATATTTGTTCTTAGTTGCCTTCCTTGCCAATTTACATCATTACTTTTTCAGCTAGGAAATGGAAATATAGCTGGGCGCTGTGGTGGGCGCCTATAGTCCCAGCTACTAGGGAGGCTGAGATAAGAGAATTGCTTGGGCCCAAGAGTTTGAGGTTGCTCTGAGCCATGACACTCTACTGAGGGTGACAAAGTAAGACTCTGTCTCAATCAAAAAAAAAAAAAAAAAAGAAATGGAAATAATAGGTAGGCCAAACAAAATAAACTAATAAGTTCTTCAAAATATAAGCCACGAAGATTTTATATTTTTATGTTAATAATAAATTATATGGTTCTGTTTGGAGATAGCAAGTCCCCTTACTTAAAGATGTGCAGAGATGGGGGAAATTTAGTATCACATACTTCTTCCTCCTCTCAGAGCTCATGGCAGCCATCATTAAATGATCACACAGTGCATTAGGCATCCATTCGACTTCCAGAGTCGAATATGCAACATGAATTATTTTTGCCATCTCCATTAGGAAGACAAGAAAGCCATTTGCTAAGGGTGTTATAGAACAGCTGACACCAACATTTTTCAGTACCAGGGACCAATTTAATGGAAGACAATTTTTCCAGCGACCAGGGAAGAGGATGATGGTTTTAGGATGATTCAAGCATATGACATCTCTACCTCAGATTATCAGGCATTAGATTCTCATAAAGAGAGTGTAACCTAACTCTCATGAAGTTTATAGTAGAGTTTCTGCTCCTATAAGAATCTAATGCTGCCGCTCATCTAAGAGGAGGTGGGGCTCAGGTGGTGATGCCAGCGATGTGGCGTGGCTATAAATACAGAGGAAGCTTCACTGCTCATCTGCTGCTCACCTCCTGTTGTGCAGGCGAGTTGCTAACAGGCCACAGACCATCAATACTGGTCTATGGCGAGAGACTGAGGACCACAGTTACAGAAGGAATTTAACCGTCAGATGGTTATGTTCATGATATAAGGAAGGTTAAACAAATGAGATCTTTAATCCTAAAATTTAGTATATCACCAACAACATTCTTAGCACCCAGAGCATAAGAACACTGTTACATAGTTGTTGGTCTGTATGTATTTGTGGAGTACTTCCTGTGCACATGTGGTTGTGTAGGCACTGGACTCAGACTGCTAAATCATCATGTTGTCTTCCCTGGGGGACCTTATACCCTTTTAGGGGAACTGAGATATTTGTACATAAGCAAAGGACCTAGCATTACCAGGTAGAGGCAATATCGAGCATTCAATTAGTAGAACAGATGTGATTCAGAGGAGAAAGAAGACTGGTTATTAATTACAATAGCTGATCTTTATTAGATTCTTTGGTGGTATCTAACAGGATTCTGTTGGCTTAACATATATTCACATGTAATCTACACAACTACCCTATGAAGGAGTGTCTTTATTACATTTTACAGATGAAAGAATTGAGTCATGGTGATATGACTCATGGTGACTAGCCAAGGTCATATAGCTAGTAACCAGCAGAGCTGGTAACCAGCTATCTAGATTGTGAATGTAGATAGCCTACATCCAGCGCACAGCCACATTCTCAATTATTAGACTTGGCTGTCAATAGAAACTTGACAAAGGAGAGGGGGTGGAAACTGAGCCTCCAAGGATTGCTGTGACACTATCTGTGTAGTGGAAAAAGAGGGAAGGTATTTCTGTTTCAGACTCACTGTTAAGCGAGTTTTTGAAATGGCTAAAAGCACACATATGTGAATCCAAACACATAGGCCAGGCTATTCTTCATGCCTTTGGTTCTTAATTTCCCCTAAGGAAACCCAGTGAGGGAGAAAAGTATGAACAGAACCAGCCAGTATCTGAACTAGAATGGAGTTACGATCAGAGGCTGCATTTTTTCCACAGCATGTTTTGAATTGTGGTGGCTCTGGAATGGCCCAGTGGTGATGTGGTGAAGTCTCGAGCTCTTAGAGATGTCAGGAATACTTTATTTTAGTTGCAGAACTTTGAGTTTGGCAGGCCAGTGGTGGACTTCTTACTGCCCCAAGAGAGTGTCTTTCTTGGCTGAACAAAAGGGGAAAGCACTCATGCCACTGGCAGAGACTTAAGAATCCTAGGTCCATAAGTAGCATTGTGTAGGAACTAGCTATATTTTTTGCTTTCTCTGTAAGATGTGCCTTTGAGGTCCTCATTGACTTACTTTCCTCCTATGTCTTCCCCTGTTGCACTCTGAGCTGCTCTGGAGCTTTGTGAGTGAAGCTGTGTCTGGCAGAGGTTGTCATGATCATGTTGTTGGCTTAGTTTCTTTTTTTTTTTGGAGACAGAGCCTCAAGCTGTCCTCCTGGGTAGAGTGCCGTGGCATCTCAGCTCACAGCAACCTCCAACTCCTGGGCTCAAGCGAGTCTCCTGCCTCCGCCTCCCAAGTAGCTGGGACCACAGGCACCTGCCACAACGCCCGGCTATTTTTTGGTTGCAGCCGTCATTGTTGTTTGGCGGGCCCGGGCTGGATTCGAACCCGCCACCTTGGGTGTACATGGCTGGTGCCTTAGCCACTTGAGCCACAGGCGCCAAGCCGTTGGCTTAGTTTCTACTGGGACATTGACCGTATAAAAGCAGCTGGTGCTAGAGGCATCTGCATCTTTGGCTTTTTCCTTATGACTCTGCTATCAGCTATGATTGGCTGATACATTTAAACATTTATCCTAATGGTTCTTTCATTTGCACTTTTCAGATCCTTCTCCAAGTGTCATTCCTCCCCCTTAATTTAAATAAAAAACACAACAAAAAAGAACAATAAAAAACAATTATTTAAAAAATGTTTATTATGCACACTATATTATAAATACTGTTAAACGACTGGGGTTACAGTACTAATCCAGGACACTTGGTCCCAGCAAATGACATATTTGATTGCTCTGTACCTACAAAATTGTTTTCTGCATCTATATCTATCTTTGTTCTAGCTAAACTTGGAAAAATTACTTTGATATAGAAGTAACACTTTTTAAATCCTTGTAACACTGTGGTTACCTTGTAACACTATGGTTTTGTTTTATTTTGTTTTTTGAGACAGAGTCTCACTTTGTCACCCTTGGTAGAATTCAATGACCTCATACCTCACAGCAGCCTCCAACTTTCGGCTCAAGAGATTCTCTTGCCTCAGCCTCCCAAGAAGCTGGGAATACAGGCGCCCACCACAATGCCCAACTATTTTTTTGTTGTAGTTGTCATTGTTGTTTACCTGGCCTGGACCAGGTTCGATCCCACCAGCCTCAGTGTATATGGCTGGTGCCATAACCACTGTGCTATAGGCACCGAGACGTAACACTGTGTTTACCATGGAAGTTGCTTTTTTACCAATCATTTTCTCCATCTCAACAGGCAAATTGGAGACAATCTGATTGTCCCTGGAGGGGTGAAGACCATCGAAGCCAATGGGAAGATGGTGCTCCCTGGAGGCATCGACGTCCACACTCACTTCCAGATGCCATACAAGGGAATGACTACAGTGGATGACTTCTTCCAAGGCACAAAGGCAGCCTTAGCAGGTGGCACCACCATGATCAGTAAGTCTTCAGATTTTACACATTCCTATTCCCAGAGGCGTGTTCTTAGGGAATGTGGGAACCACAGTGCTCTCTCATGATAACTTGCACACATCCCTCAACTAAGTTTGTAGCCTTTCTGCCTAATGAGACCTGAGAAAAGCAGGACATGGGCAGCTCCCCGTGACTCACAGAGGAGATTCATACAGCTCTTGGCTGTGCAAGCTCCCGTCCTGTCCTGTCCACCTTAGCAGCGGGAGCTGGCTTTTGGAGTGGGTGAGGAATCAGGAAATGTCTCTGAGCTGGCCGTGGAAAAGTGGACTTAAAAAGTTGTGAATAGTGAACCAAAAGTTATTATGAAACTGCCAGCTTGCGTCTGGAGGAGGAGTGGGCAGGGTACACAGCAGAGCACTGTGAATGGGGCTCAGGAGTATCACAGAGAATGAATGACAGTGGAGACTCAGATCTTAGGAATTTGGTGGGCTTCAGTGGTGCTGAGATTCTGGTTTGCACTGTATTTTTACCAATTCATCTTTAAGATTAGGCAAGCTCAGTGGTTTCCCTGGTTTTTTATTTATTTATTTTTTCCTGGTAACTATTGCAATTCCAAAGAAACCTCAGGAGTTGCATGCCATTGGATTACTGACTGATACCATTTCAGGGTGGTCTTCCCTTGACCCAAAGGAGTCGTGACGAATTGGGGCCCATCCCAGTGCTGACCCTAAACTTGGTCGGCCAGAGCACTGTTTATTTTCACACTGTATATATCCACCCAAGAGCACAGAACAGCCCGAAACAGAATTATCCACTGTCTTTTATGTCCTTTTGACAGGAGCACTGGCAGGGTTCAGCTTCAGCTAGTTGGGTGTGGAAACCCAAGAAAATTGCATCCAGGCCATAAAAGGTGCAATTCAGGGAGAACCAAGCTTTTCTCCAGCCAAAGAGGGGGAAGCCAACTGACGTTTTAGCAGCTGCCTGCCCAAGAAAGCCCTGGTGTTGCTCCAGACGGTAGTAATGTAGCTGCCTGTGTTTGCTTTCTGATAAGTGCACTTGGGCTGCCTTGATAGTAGGCGGTGGAAATGAGTGACCATGACTTGGCTCTCTGCCACTTGGGCAAGGAGTTGGACCTGTTCAAGTTCCCGAGATTCACATTACGCTTGGTCTTCCACTTTAGGAAAGGAGCAGGAGGAAAATCGGAGTTCCCAGTGATAACAGAGTAAATCATACAAAGAACCAGAAAAGCATTCGTGGCCTTCATAGAAAAGTTAGAAACCCTAGAGCTGTAAAAAGAACGGAAACCTCGTAATCCCACATCGCTATTAGATTTTGGTTATGCATTTTGCACATTTTTTTTCTATTTAACAAAAATAATTGTGTATGTACTTGACTATATTTTGGCCTGCCATTTTCACTAAATAATATGTCCTGGATATCTTTCCATTGATGTATTTTTATTCTGCCACAGCATTTAAAATGAATTTACAGTCATTTATTTTATGAAAGCATCACCACTTAAGTATCTAACCCAGGTTCTCTATTGTTAAAGATTTCAGTGGTTTCCAGTTTTTCACATGTAAGTATATAAACAGTGTTTGAGGTGGCAAACATCCTTAGAACTCACATTTTACGGACAGCCTCATTTATTTCCCTAAGAATAATAATTAGGCATGGAAATCGTTATTGGGTTAAGGTATACAAAGTGTCCAGGTGTTTGAAATCTATTTCAGAACTATTCTCAGGAAAATTGCACCAATTCACACTTTCTAGCTTCCCAGGGGAACTGTGAAAGTGAAACTTTTGTCTCATCCTCACCAGCTATAGATGCCATTATTTTTAAAAATATCACTGATGGTTGTAGGTGAAAGAATACATTTGGGCCTCCTGGAAACCAGATTCTTTGCAAAACGTTTCATGGAAATAAGATCTGTGAGCTTTAGAGTCATGTTCCCTTAACTGATGCCAGCTCTTCCCTCTGGCAGTAAGCAGAGGACTGCCATCTTTTGTACCCTGACATAACTTTTAATACCACTCCTTCCACTATTGGAAGAGAGTCTGACTTTTATCACTAGCAGTGACTCCCTGACCCGGCACTCATTGATAGCTGACCTTTATTGAGCACGTGCTGTGAGCCAGGCATCAAGTGAAGGATTTTCCATGCATTTTCCCATTTATTTTTGTGTGTGTATGTATGTATGTATCCATCTGTCGTCACCCTAGGCTAGAGTGCAGTGGCAGGATCATAGCTCATCGTAGCCTCAAACTCCTGGTCTCAAGTGATCCTCCTGCCTCAGTCTTCTGAGTAGCTGGAATCACAGGCACCTGCCACCACACCTGGCTAATTTTTTCATTTTTTGTAGAGATGCAGTCTCCTTTTGCTCGGGCTGATCTTGAACTACTGATTTCAAGCAATCCTCCCACCTCGGCCTCTCACCTTAGTCTGTAATCCTTGGCTAGGACTCTAGGCATAGACATGAGCCACCATGCCTGGCCCATTATCCCTTTTAATCTTACAACAAACTCAGAAGGAAGGCACTATGACACCCTGTCCCACACTACACTTGACATCCATTTAAAAAAGAAAAAACTGAGGTTTAGAGAAGCTAGTAATTTGCCCAGAATTATATAGCTAAGTGGTGTTTAAATCATTCGCATCCTTGAAACTGCCAGGTTAATTCCATGCTGTGGGAAGAGGGATTTTGTGGGCTAAGCAGGCAGGATCCGGCTGAGTAGAGGAAAGCGAGGGCTTTGTCTGTAAGTCACCTATCAGGAACCTCTGTCATTCAGTCGACCACGTGGTGCCTGAGCCCGAGTCCAGCCTGACCGAGGCCTATGAGAAGTGGCGAGAGTGGGCCGATGGGAAGAGCTGCTGTGACTATGCCTTGCACGTGGACATCACCCACTGGAACGACAGTGTGAAGCAGGAAGTGCAGAACCTCATCAAGGACAAAGGTGAGCCGGAACACACCCGCCCCTCCCCCGGCTTCTCTTTGCCTGTTCTTCCAGCACCAGCCACTCATTTGTGTCCCTTTCCCTTGCTTGGATCCTGGAACCTCGAGCCTAAGTCCTGAGTGTAGGGATACCACAATGTTCCAGACACTTTATATGCAGTCTTACTCCTCACAGGATCCCTGCGAGACAGGGATTGTTACTCTTGTCTCCACTTTGCAGATGGAGAAACTCAGGCTCAGAATAAGTAACCCAAGATCTCAGAGGTGGTAAGCAGTGGATCTGTCTGAAGCCTATGTTCTTTTTTTTTTTTTTGAGACAGAGCCTCAGCTGTCCCCCTGGGTAGAGTGCTGTAGCATCACAGCTCACAGCAACCTCCAACTCCTGGGCTCAAGCGAGTCTCCTGCCTCAAGTAGGTGTGGTCCCCAAGTAGCTGGGACCACAGGCGCCCACCACAACGCCCGGCTATTTTTTAGGTGCAGCTGTCATTGTTGTTTGGTGGGCCCAGGCTGGATTTGAACCCGCCACCTTAGGTGTATGTGGCTGGCGCCTTAGCCACTTGAGCCACAGGCACCGAGCCTGAAGCCTGTGTTCTTTACCTCCATGTATTACTGCCAATTTTTCAGTAAAGGAAACTGAAGTTAGAAAGGTATAACTTAGTTTACATAGGCCACCTGAGTAGTCAATATGACAAATATGACATTAGGGACTTTTTTTTTTTTTTTTTTTTTTTGAGCAGAGTCTCACTGTGTGCCCTGGGCAGAGTGCTTACGGGAACCTCAAACTCTTGGGCTCAACTGATCCTCTTGCCTCAGCCTCCAAGTAGCTGGGACTACAGGCGCCTGTCACAACTTGGGGCTAGTTTTTTTATTTTTAGTAGAGAAAGGGTCTAGCTTTTGCTCAGGCTGGTCTTGAATTCCTGAGCTCGGGTGATCCACCTGCCTCAGCCTCCCCGAGTGCTAGAATTATAGATATGAGCCACCACACCTGGCCAAGATTAGGGATTTTTAACCCCTATCATTTGTACTCCAGTGATCAAACCATTACTATAACATAACAATGGCATCCTCAGGAAAGGTTAAGACATTCCTAGGAGCAAGGGAATGCAGGTACCTAGGCTAGGAGCTTAGGTGCACGGGTGTCCTCTCAGTGAGCACGTGATTGTTCCATTGTCTCAGATTCTGTTGTTCTCTGCTTCTGTTTTGATCACCAGATATTTCACCTGCACCGTATTTGCCCATGTATGTGTAATGTGCTCAGCCTAATAAGGTGGCCTGGGGACCTAGGGAAGTGTGAATAATGGCCTCTGCTGAGTTTCCAAGGCAGAAGGAAGCAGGCTCACGAAGTGAAACAGTAAACACTACGAGATGCAAGAACTGTTATCCAATGAGTAGTTTAGACACATTGGCTAGGAGTTCAATGGAAGAGAGTGCTCCTGGAATTGGAGGAGAAAGGATGACCCCTCAGAGGATGATTTTTTCTTTCCATCTCCCTCCTTATCCCTCAAGCCCCTTCCATGCCTTGGGAATGCAGAATGTGAGATGAACCTCCTCTTTTTTAGTATTTTTATTTCCTTTTACACTGGACATCTCAGCTAGAGTACAAAATTGAATGGCTTTAACACCCGCTTGCCTCTCAAATGGCATGGGTCATTATACAGATGATGAGGAGATTTTTGGGACGGTAGTGCTGGGGAAAAGTGCCCTGAGTTGAACCACTCTGGGCAGGGAAGTTCTCAGATTACAAACCCACTTTTGGCCTGGAACACTGTGGGCTGAGATGGCCCTAATGGTTAGAGACCAAAATTATCCTTCTTTCCTTAACATGATTCTCTGTTCCTTAGTCCCTATTTCTGTAAATCACTACATTAATACTTTATTTGGGGTGCAATTTAAATAGTCCTTTTCCTCTAACTCTTATGACTTTAGTTAGAGGTCTAAGCACAAGGTGACACTTGCCTTCTGCCCATTAGTGCTGCTGGTTCCCTGAGGACTGAGCCTGAGTCTTAGTCCCCTGTGCACAGACCCAGTGCAGAACAGGCATTCATCCAACTGTAAGGTACACCGATCCCAGGAAACCTATTCATGGAGACCAAATATGCACCAGGCCTGAGACAAGAGTCTGAGTTACCTCCTTAAGTGTTCATGACCACCTTGTGAAGTAGGATATTGTAATTTTTCCATTTAGAAATCAAAGCCCAGAGATGTTAAGTATCCTAAACTCACTGAAGTAGCATGTGGTGGATTCACAGGCGTAACCACCCCCGCATGGGAACACCATTGTTGTTGTAGAATGATCCTCAGTGATGTCTATTGCTTCGAGCAGTAATGAGTTTGTGGACCTCCTGGGCTGGGGGATGCTGGAAGGGGAGGTGAGAAGGAGGTGCAGAAGAAGAGCCATTTTGCTATGCCACCTCCTAGGAATTATTGATTTTATTGGGTGGGGGTAGGCATAGTAAAGTGCTTTGGGAGAGTAAGAAACGTCTTTAAGCTGGACAGGAGCCTGGGTAATGTGCTTGGGCCCCATGAGTGATGGAAGTGGGAGCAACAGTGACGGGTGATTGTGATCATGTTGTCTTTCTTTTATTCTCCCTCCCTTCCCTACCACAGGGGTTAACTCCTTCATGGTTTACATGGCCTACAAGGACTTGTATCAAGTGTCCAACACAGAGGTAACAACCCATTTGCTGTGTGGTTTGGGGTATCTGGAGGGGTCTTCCATTGTTGTTGATGACCTTGGCCCTTGTAACGTGAGTCACTGTGGTCACCGTGGGAGACTGCTGGTCCAGAGGGCTTCTTGAAGCCCTTGCAGTTCATGCTACATTTTAAATACTGTAACAGGCAGTGTGCCCATGGCAAGACAGACAGGGAGCTAGAATTTCCACTGCTAGCAACTTTCTTAAAAGGGGAAGAAGGGAGTGGCACCTGTGGCTCAGTGAGTAGGGTGCCGGCCCCATATACTGAGGGCGGTGGGTTCGAACCTGGCCCCAGCCAAACTGCAACAAAAAATAGCTGGGTGTTGTGGCAGGCGCCTGTAGTCCCAGCTACTCAGGAGGCTGAGGCAAGAGAATCGCCTAAGCCCAAGAGCTGGAGTGAGCTGTGATGCTACGGCACTCTACCAAAAGCGACAAAGTGAGACTCTGTCTCTTAAAAAAAAAAAGAGGGGGGGTGGAAGGAAGAGGGAAGGCATGCCTGAATCTCCATCTACTGCTCAGCTTCAAACCCCTCATAAGCTCACTGTAAGGTTCTCCACCTTGCAGGATCTGAAGGGCTGTTGCTGTTTGGAGTAACTGTATCAGCTTGCCTCTGACTCTCACCTAAGAAATTCCTGCCATGTGTTTGTTTTAGACAAAGGTTAAGTTTTCAGGGGAAATACAAAAAATCAATTCCTATGCCTCCTGGTTAGGAGGTAAAGTTAAATCTACCTTGAAAAGTGAAGGGATAAAGTTTCAGCTTTCATGTCAGCTTCTGGCCAGGCTGTAGTAGAGGACTTGCTGAGGATTCTGAAGCTCCTCCTTCTCAGCTCAGTCAGAAAATAATTCCATTAAAAATGGGTATCAGAGGCACAGGAGAGGGTTTGGTAATACTTTGTTATGTATTTGTCCTGTCTGCCTGAGAGACAGGGTATATCAGAGTTGCCTAGAATTTATTTGGATTAGCACTTTTCTTTGATTGTGCATATTTTAGTCTATATATTCCATCTGAGTCACTTATTTCCTCTGGTTTATTGCATTTGTTTTAGCTTTGGTCCTTGTAATTGTGTGAGGTTGCTAAACGTGGCTTGCAAAGGTGACACAGACATTTATTTATATTTTAGCTCTACGAGATCTTTACCTGCTTAGGAGAGCTGGGGGCCATTGCTCAAGTTCATGCTGAGAATGGAGATATCATTGCCCAGGTAACATTGTGCAGCTCCCCGGAGTATGCTCTCTGCACAGACTGGGGTCTGCATCTGATTTCTTCCCTCATTTCTTCAGTGTTCCTTAAGCTGTCAGTGTGTGTAAGGCCCTGTCATAAAGACCCTGCTAAAGATAGGAGCTATCTTTAGGTCTAAAGAACCTCACAGTCTGGGAAGAAAAGAGGGGAGCAGGTAAGTAAGCTGGGAGAAGGAAAACAAAAAGAGACAGGGCAATTCTTGGAAAATCAGAAAAGGCGTCCTGGAAAAAGGGGTTTTCAAATCGGGCCATTTAGTGGGATGGTATTACTGATTCTTTTCTTAAATGTGTTAAAGCTATGTGATGTTCTGTGTCCTAAAGAAAACCTAAGGCAGCATTTCTCAGAAGCTAGACATCACACCCAGCTCTGTGGAACCCACAGGCCTAGCTAATAAAGGATTTAGATACCTTGGGGATCAGAGGTCCCACTGGTTTCCTAGAAATCGTATTGAGAAACTCAAGGAAAGAGTGATGAAAGTGAGGGCCCAAAGGCCCAAATTGATCGTTTATAAGGAAGCAGAAAGCAGTTCTCTCTCCATTTCCTGGGCTGCTTAATGGAATAGACGAACAGATGTGTCTTGGGAAGGGTTTTGTTTATCTCAGAAACGTTCAACACTGGTCTCTGCTGGGAGGATACAGCCATAAAAGAAGAATGAGTTTTCTTAGTCCATTTGATAACACTAACAACAAGCGCCATTATTCATTCTTTCAAAGACTATTTCCTGAGCACTTTGTGCCAGGCACTAGCCTGTTGAGGTGAGCCAAAGCAGATGTATTCCAGAGCTCCCAGATGCTTGCTCTGTGCTTCATTTTAGAAGTTCGCCCAGGACTTGGTCAATGTGGTCAGGAGGGGCATGAAAACAATGTACATGCCCAGCCACATCACATTCGTGTTTTCTCATTTAATCCTCTCCCAACCCTTTAAAGATGCCATCGACTTCCCTGTTTTGTAAATGAGAACGTTGAGGCTCAGAAGGATTAGGTCACTAGCCCAAGGCTCCCAGCAAATATAATAATAGAGGAACCAAATTTGGCCCCTAAGGTGATGTGCCTCAGTGGACATCTTTGCCCAGAAATAGTGTATCGTGGTTCCTTATTTCCCAAGCCCAGCCACAGGCTCCCCAGTGAGACAGCAGCACCCCATCAGTGCAGGGCTCCAGCTGTGGTGATTTCAAACTCTGGATGTTGTCTGGCTGGTGGAGAAGGTGAGCTAAGTGTGCAGTTTCTTCTCACTGTGACCAAGGAGGCTGATTAGTCAGGCCTCTCTGACAGTACCTTCACCCACATCCCCTTCCCATACCCAGAGATAATGAACTCATTATCCCACTGGTTTCCTAGAAATACAGAGGGTCCAAATCCCTTGCTCTCATGGGAGGCACCCTGGTGGTGTTAGAATTGCCTTCTTCCCCCTTGCGTAAGTTTTCAGGGAGGGCAGCAGCCAGAGGTCTTGGCCCTGCCTTCAGCTGCCCTGGAAACCGACCCCCCTGCTGCTTCATTCTAGACCCTGCAGGGGCAATGAACTTCAACTCAAAACCCCTTTCCTCTTGGGGTTCCTCAGCACACAAGTTTCTCTGATCTCCCACCTCCCCCAACCCTCATACTTTCTTTACCTTGGGAAGATCTGCTCTCAGTCAGGAAAAGAATAAGGGCATTTTTCCATTTGGATGAGTTTCTTGTGTGTGTTTATTATTAAATTCAGCTTGAGCTAAAAGATTTTATCACATTGTCTAAACGAAGGCAGCTGCTGTCTCGGAGTTTCTTGTTGCACTTAGGCAAAAGTGACTAAAGAGAGAGAATAAATCCTTCTCTTTGGGTACAAACAAGGGCAGCTTTCAAAGATTTCAAGTTGATGAGACAGTCTGAGAGTCCATAATCTTTAGTCATACATTTAATAATTATCTGTTGAGCACCTCTACTATGTGCTATGTCTTAGGGAAGTTGAAAAATACAGGGTCTCTTTCTTCATGAAGCAAGCTGCACTTGTGCCATGACCCAAACCATGATGGAATTGTAGCTGTCCCGAGTGCCACAAAGTGCTCACTGCTGCCCCCACCCCCACATAAGGTGGCATAGTGGGGCTTTACATGCCATTCGTAACAGCTATAGGGACACCATGGCTTTAAAATAGGTCTTCCCAACATGAACAGTGTATTAACGTCACCAGGTTTTCTTAATTCCAGAGATTCTGATTCAGTACGTCAGTGGTACAGTTTAGGCAAGTGTACTGTGAAAATGTCACTTGGTGATTTGAATGTGTTTGGAAACCCACTGCTTGAGCTAACTTCATCCTGTGCATTATCCTGGCACACTTGAACAAGACAGAATTGGAAGTGTCATGTGTATAAGACCGAAGGTATTTTAGTTGGCGACCTTAACACTTGAGTGACCTGAGGCAGTTTAGAGTGGGAACTCACTAGGGTTTGGAAGAAATGGAATTCAGTTCAAGTTTCAAAAAGTGAGAGGGTGAGAATGAAAAGTAGGGGGGCTATGCTGAAAACTTCAACCTCTGACTTTTTCTTATTCTGTGGAGCTGGAGATAGTCATTGTTTATATAGGTATATTTTCCTTCCTACTCTTTTAGAAATTTGTTTTCAGAACAAAACCCAAAAGGTTCTTCTTTTCTAGGTGGCAAGAATCCTTTCCTTTCAGAACACCTCCTAGTTTCAAAGTGAGACAAGGCTTTGTTCTGTTCACCGTCTCACCTGCATCTCCCATATTACACACATACTCCCGGGCCACTGGGCCAGCCTTGCCAGTGCTGAGGTTCACGGTAATTTGAGAGTGAAAGCCAGGAAATCTGCAGAGAGGGATTGGATTGGATTTCTGCCAATTCCAATTAGTGCATATTTATGTTCACCACCCAGCCACCTGCTTCTTCCAGAAAGCTGCCCAGAACCGGAGGAGTTTAGCTATCAGCCACAAGGGACAGGGATTTCTGTCCACAACTTGGTTAGGTAGAATTTGATCAAAACAACACCTTAGGTAATGCTATTTACAAACATTCTTTGTCTGGTTAAATTCTGAGTCCATCCATTTAAGCCAAAGATTTAATAAAATTCTCCAAGATATTTATTATAATATAGATTGCTAGGATGGGGCCATAAATCTGTATTACTACAGATCAACTCAGGTGATGCTGATGTAAGTGGTGGGCAGCCCACACGTTAGGAAACACAGCACTAAACCCTATGTTCCATGAGGTCAGGGACCCCATTGCTTTAATTTGAGTGCTAACCCCAGAGCCTAGCATGAAGCAGATACTCAGTACATTTTGCAGAATGAATGAGTTTAAAGTGCATGCGTGAATAAAGAAATGAGTTATACAAATATACTTTCAGAAGTAGCTGGGTCTGAGAGAGATGAAGACTAAGCACCTGGTGTGATTTTTGAAGAGTAATGTAGACAAAAAATGTGTAGCCTAACAAACTATCTTCCTTTTTCATAAAAGCAACCCACCCTTAATTGCTCTTCTCCACCTTTTTGTTAAAACTACCCTATATTGCAACTCCAGATATAGAATTAATCCATTTGTCTAACATATGGCATTTTTATTCTTTTCTTTCCCTTGAGTACATCTTTAGATCAAAACATGCTAGTATAATTTTTCCAAGTCTCTGTTGAGCTTATCTAAGGACTGTTTCTATTCTTTTCTCATTCTAGGAGCAAACCCGGATGTTGGAAATGGGGATAACTGGCCCAGAAGGCCATGTACTGAGCAGACCAGAGGAGGTAGGTTGCAGGGGTGTAGGTGGAGAGTGGGTAGGGAGAGAGAGGCAGGAGCAGTGAGGACGCAGTTCTTCACAGCAGCTTCTGAGGGCCTCCTCTCTTCACAGTTCCCATGGCCTTGCTATGACCTGCTGCTCATTCTCCATCTGGAGTCTTAGTCTTTGGCCAACTATCCTGAGCCATGTGCACACGCAACACAGGAATGCACATTGCTGAAAGGTGGTGAGAACCTCACTACACCAGATAGCAGAATTGGGACATTTCTTTGAAAGACCTCTTCTGACTGACCCTAGCTCAAGAGCCCTGAGAAAATCAGAAAGGAATGTAAGGGAGATGCTCACTTCTGTCCCCTAATCTCTCTAAAGATAACACAAATTAGCGTCCTTCACAGCTATTCAGTGGGAGTGTTACATTTCTAATCAGTGTGAATCTTGGAGACCTTTCCACTTACTCCTTTCTTTCCTTTTTTGTTTTTTATTGTTGGGGATTCATTGAGGATACAAATAACTGGGTTACATTGATTGCATTTGTTAGATAAAGAACCTCTTATAATTGTGTCCCTCCTCCAAAAGGTGCACCACATGCGGTGACCTCCCCACCCCTTCCCTCCTTCTCTTGTTCTTCTCTCCCTATCCCTCACCCCCCACACCATGTATTAGGTCCTTAATTGTCTTCATATCAGAATTGAGTACATAGGATTCTTGCTTCTCCATTCTTACGATGCTTTACTAAGAAGAATGTGTTCCACTTCCATCCAGGTTAATTAATACAAAAGATATAAAGTCTCCATCTTTTTTAGTGGCTGAATAGTATTCCATGGTATACGTATACCACAGCTTGTTAATCCCTTCATGGGTTGGTGGGCATTTAGGCTGTTTTCCACATTTTGGCACTTGTAAATTGAGCTCCAATAAACAAGTCTAGTGCACGTGTCCTTATGGTAAAAGGATTGTTTTATAATTTTGTGATTGGGGATCCAGTCACACACAGCATTCCTAAAAAGTCTGTCTATTTAATGATACCAGATTCCTTCTATGACATGCTTCGACTTAGTACTGTGCTAATTACATGCATATCTCAGTTATCCTGGCTGGCACATGGATAGTTGACATTGTTGTGCAGGTAAAGAAACTGAAGCTTAGAGAAGTTAAGCCACTGGCCCACCACTTTGAAAGACTGGAAGATTGTTTACCCAGTGTGAACAGGACAGGATGATCAACACCGTTAGTCGAACTTTTCTTAAATGCTGGTCACTGTAAGGATGTGCTGGCAAGACGGATTTCCAGCAGCAGCCAGGGGATTTCAGAGCAAAGTCTATTTTTGTTCCTTGGTTTGTTTTTTCAACCTCCTCTTAACCATACCACCCCACCCTCCTCCCTGTTCCTGTCTCCTTTTTAGTAAAAAAGCCTCTCAGCCACAAGCCTCTATAGCCCTGGAAGTCCTTTTGGGTGAAGTTGGAGGGTGATGTAACCTTCCAAAGATAGTCATGTTGTCAAAGTGCTTAGAAACCTGCAGTGTGGGGGGTGGAGGGGGATCAAAGGGACCAGGACAGAGGTCCCAGGGGAGGACCTGAAGTGGTCAGCATGGGTGTGAAGGGAGAGGAGTGAGCACAGGAGCAGCTGGCCGCTGTCCAGTGCAGAGCATACCACATACCCTCGCAAGTGATGCTGTTCAGAGAGCTGGGACTGAGGCACAGAGATGGCTGTTCCAGAGTACAGAGGTCTCGGTACTTCAGGATGGTGTCTGCTTGAGCTCCAGGGCTTTGTCCTCATGGAACAGAGTGCAGCTTAGGGTATGCCAGGTCGGCTGACCGAGGCTTAGAGTCTGTCTTCTGAACCACACCCTCGTGAGCAGAAACTAGTTTACATTTGTACAACCATTGGACATCTGCAAGCTATTTTAGGTATTTATTAAAGTGTTGGGCTCTATAGACTAACCCAAATCAAAAGAAACTGTTGCCAATTAAATGGAAAAATGCTAGTGTCTCTGCTCTGGGAACAGAGGGTCTGAACTGATTGGAAACTGTGATCAACAGTAAGACCTAGAGCCTCCTTTCAAGGAATACCTTCCTTGTCCCAGAAACGGGCTAATTGCTTTACCAGGATTAACTCAGTTAATCCTCATAGCAGCCTGAGGTGTTAGGTCCTATTCTTAGCCCTACTTTACAGACAAGAGGTCGTGTAATGTGCCTGAGGTCACCCAGCTTGTAAATGCTGGAAGCGGGACTCAGACTCAGGACATCTGAGAGAGCCTGAGCTCTCAGACCCTGCTTTGTTAATAAAATAAGGGACAACTTCTTATTTAATAAATGTAACTGGTTAGTTAGCATATTTGAAAACATGAATTCTTTATTTGGGTGGGATGACAGGATCAAAGAAGTCTTTGTGTTGAGAAGTCTGGGAATTATTTTTTAGAAGAAATGCCTCCGAGAATTAATCCTTTGCTGACTGTCTATTGCCTCAAGAAAGGACTTGGAGAACCTGATGCCTAAATGCCTAAACTGGTTATTTTAGGCATAAAGCATTGTGATTGTGCTTTCTGAATCTGCCCTGAGAAGACTGGGGAGCAAAGGCCTCCACCAAGATGTAGCCTTGGTCGTAACCATAGGGAGAGGAGACTATAGGTTCAGGAAAAACTTCCCTAACATTGAGTAGATTCTCTGGTCCTGGCATTGCTCTCAGACAGCTGTACTTTTCTGTCTCCAGTTTACTGGTGAGGCATGGAGGTGCAGCGGGGCTAAGGTGAGGCAGCTAGGAAGTGGCAGAGCTGAAATGAGGATCCAAGCTGTCTGATCCTAGATCTTCCTCAGTCCCCTGCAGCGCTGCAGTCTCCTGGTTTGTGGAGGAGGAGGAGGAGTAGCAAGTTTGAGACGCTCATGTTGACTCCTGGGGCCTTTTTATTTTTTTTTTTTTTTGCAGCTGGAAGCTGAGGCTGTGTTCCGTGCCATCACCATTGCCAGCCAAACCAATTGTCCTCTCTACATCACGAAGGTCATGAGTAAGAGTGCGGCTGACCTCATCTCGCAAGCCAGGAAAAAAGGTGACTTGTGCGCCGAAGATCTCAGCACCCCTCTGTACTATGTGGCTCCTTCCTTCTCTGTTGCCCTAAACTCTGCCTGCTTTGCTCACCGTAGGAAGGTCCTCTCATCATCCTAGGTAGATGGAAAGATCCTGGGGTTTCTCTCCCATGGCACAGAAGTAAGCTGAGGCTCAAGGTTGGATGATTTGCCCAAGGTGTCATAACTTGACCAGAACTTCTTAGTTTTGGTGCCTCTTTCCTGCCTCCTTTTGACATGATCAGAGCTTTACACATGGACATATTCATTAGGGTTATGTCAGGTGCAGAAGTCAGAGATCCAGCCTCAGCTGGCTTAAACATACCGAAGTACATGATTGGCTGTCGGTGGTTCAGGCACGGGGAGAGGGATGGGCTTTGACAGTGGCATTGGGGCTCTCTGAGTCTTACTGCTTTCTTGGCTATCTTTCCTCTCTGTTGGCTTCACGTTTAATATGAACAGTGATATGAACAGATGCCAGAAGGTGCCAGGTGTCCTCCCTTTTTGTGGAGGAAACAGTGGGGAAGCAGAATAGCTCTTTCCCAACAGCTCATGCAGCAGTCCCCAGGAGCACTGGGAGCATCCTGCCTTGGGTTACATGCTCATCCCTGAACCCATCGCTGCCTTGGGATGGCGTAATCTAGATAGGACCGAGGATAGAATACAGGGACAGAGTCGTTCCCCCTGAGCCACACAGACTAGCACAAGTTATTTTAAAGAAGGAGTGGCATGGATCTCCAAAGCACATCTGTTACGGCCAGTGTGACATGGGTCTGTCTCCTCTGCCTTCTGACATTTCTGCTACTTTTCTCCACTGCTGTTAACTTGGGCTTTTTTTGCTTGACTTGTGCTTAAAATGTATTCTTTTCTGTTTTTGGTTTTTGTCCTCAGTAGGGAGGTTGGATAAATGATCAGAGTGTGGTTGAGAAACTGGAGACGTAGGGGGTCTGTGTTGAGTTGTGAGCAGGGATGTACCAGGCTGGTTACATGATCACCAACTCTGCATGCCACTAGCCATTCTGGTAGTAAAAAAGACCCAAGACGAGTGATTCATCTACCAAACCAGTCTGTAAAGCTCCACGTGTGAGTGACCAGGACAGCTAAAAATAGTTCCAGCTAACACCAACGGCTGAGTGTTCAGCTGGCTGGCCTTCTAGCCAAGTGCAGCCCTTTCCTTCTAGGATGATAATCTTCTGAATTGTCCAGACAATCTCTCTAGCTACAAATTCTGGGACATCTTGACTTTATACCATGGTTACAGTAAGCCTGCTGTTTTCTCTGTGTTTTTAACTGTCTCAACTGGCACAGCTTGGTTGTTCACTGGGTATAAGTAATTGGGTGAGAACCAGGAAAGCAGCACATTCTTGAAGAAAGGCAAAATAAAAAAAAACCAAAGTGAATACGGACTCCCACCCACCACACATACCTATGCTCATGGCTACCCACTACCCTCTCATGCCTTCTGCTGAGGGACCCATTCTCAGGAAACCTGGGGACCCCTAGTTTTAGTAATATCTTGGTCTTATTTTGAACTTCAGGGAGAAAAATGCCTCACCCTCAGCCTATTGGCTCATGATTCTCTGGCAAGGAGAACTAGCACAGCTGTGTCTCCAGAGTGGAAGGGAAGCATTATTTCAGTGATGAAAAACTGGCTGCTGAGATTGAAGCCAGTAAACAACTCATGGACTGTCATTCCCAGGGAAAGAATCCACAGCATTCCAAGGAGGAAGACAAAGCATGGCAGTGTTTGCTTTTCCTTCCCTACTAGGATATTGTTTAAATCTCAAAGTGTTTAATCACCAATCAGCAGGACTCCTCAACAGTACAGCTGCTCAGAATTAATACACTAGAACCCCCATAGATGGCCAGCTCTCTCCACGGACCATCCCCTTATGTTGATCAGTTTTCATAGCCTGGACATGAACTACATCTACCCAATACAAGATCCTTACATTGACCACCTCAGTATGTTAGCCAATTTGTTACAGTCCCTTGGGTGGTAAATTTACACAAGTTTTACTAGATTAGGGAGCTATAATTTAATGAGGACTGGCTATGTCCCCAGGTCTAAGATAAATACTTCAGTTTTTTCACTATGTAGAATTTTCAAAGAACTCTGAGGAATAGGCATTATCATTACCCTTTTAAATTTTTTTAATTCATTACATTTTTTGGTTTTTTGAGACAGTCTTCCTCTGTCATCTGGGCTAGAGTGCAACGGCATCAGCAGAGCTCACAGCAACCTCAAACTCCTGGGCTCGAGCAATCCTCCTGCTTCAACCTCCCAAGTAGCTGTGACTACAGGTGCCCGCCACCTTGCCTGGCTAATTTTTCTATTTTCACTAGAGATGAGGTCTTGCTGTTGCTCAAGCTGGTCTTGAAATCCTGGCCTCAAGTGATCCTCTCGCCTTGGCCTCCCAACATATTGGGATTAAAGGCATGAGCTACCGAGCCTGGCCATTGCCCTTTTTCAGATTAAAAAAAAATTGAATCACAACTTGTCCAGGAGCTCTAGCTGGGAGAGCTAGTATTCAAATCTAGATTTAATTACAGTTTTTGCTTATTCTCTTTTTCCATGCTAAAGATAGTCCAGAGGAAGAGTTCTACTTTTAAGGTTATATTTCTCTAAGTAGTAGTTGAGTGCTCGTTGTGGCTTTAATTTCTTCACTTCTTTGTGGTCCTGTGTGCTTTAGTTTGATAAGTATTTTTGGAGAGCCCTGGAAATTCTCATAGTTATGTGTGGATCTGTTTTACTGCCACTCCAAAAAGCAGGGCTGTCATATGGTCAGTCATTGGCCATTGCATCCTTCTTTTGCCCCTGGCAGACACTACCAGTCAGTCATGATTCTTTTCTCATCAGATGAAAAGGATTATTAGAACTTTTCCCTAGGCTGGGTGTGGTGGCTCACACCTATATTCCTAGCACTCACTCTGGGAGGCTGAAGTGGGTGGATTGCCTGAGCTCAGGAGTTCAAGAAAAGCCTGAGCAAAAGCAAGAACCCGTCTCTACTAAAAATAGAAAAACTATTTGGGGATTGTGATAGACACCTGCAATCCAGCTACTCAGGAGCCCGAGACAAGGAGATTGTCTAAGCCTTAAAGTTTGAGGTTGCTATGAGCTAGGAGGCCATGGCACTCTACCCAGGTCATAGAGTGAGACTCTGTCCCCCCCACCAAAAAAAGAATTCTTCCCTACGCAGAATTCTAGATAACTATTATTAGTTGATTGGGGTTGAAATAAGGCAAAACCTATTTATAATCTTGACCATACAGGGTGACCTCATGGGGAACTTTGACTATGGAAGATGGGGGACCAAAGTTAAAGAAGCTCAGGGCTATAAAGGCAGCGTGGCTGAAGATTCTGGCATAGAGAAACTTGGTATCAACTATCTTTCTATGAGACAGTGTTTGCCTTCTCTCTCATTAGCTCTATTTCTTCTTTTATTTTTTTATTTTTTTTTTTTTTTGTAAAGACCAAATCTTGCTTTGTTGCTCAGGCTAGTCTTGGACTCCTGGCCTCAAGCAACCCTTCTACCTTGGCCTCCCAAAGTGTTAGGATTACAGCCACCACCCCTGACTTTATCCATTCTTCTTGAAGAAGCTTAACAAAAACTTATATCAGCATTATTTTTCAATATTCTTCCCTTCTCCATGGTTTGGGCAGTTTAGCCTCAGAGTCTTGATACAAAATTTGACGTGGATTAGGATGTATTTCTTGCTTTATTTAGGGAGGAACAAACAATAAAAAAGAAAATCATAAGAATCTCTGATCCACAGGCAGAGATTTTACTTTGTAAAAAAGCGTAATGGGAAGATCTAGAATTCCCAGTGATGGGGGCCCATTCGAGGGGTTTGGGATTGTACAATGGGAAGGAGTAGGCGGTGGAGAAGTCAGTGCTGATGGAGCATCTACTGTGTGCCAGACCCTTCACATACGACAAAACCTCATTTTCATAAGTCTGAGAAGTAGATGTCATCTTGTTTCATTAATTCTAGGATATGTCTATTTCACATTTAATATTCTAAAATTAGGATGAACCTTAAAATCAATGTATTTATTTTATTTTTTGCCTCAAATTTTAATTTGCCTCAAATCGTCACTTGATGCTGCATCTTATAATTAATGGCTTCTTCCAATCAAAGGACTACAAAATTGTTCACATTTAGCAGATAGAAAAGCAGAAGCTCAGAAAAGGGAGAAATAAGGACTTGAACCCAGATCTGTCTGGCTCCAAAGCACAGCCTGGTAGGCTTAGGAGCTATAATTAAACATGCCAGCCCCAGGGCAGCACATACTCTGTGCGAACTTCTTGCCTATTTCCTTCCCCCTTCCAGGAAACGTGGTCTTTGGTGAGCCCATAACTGCCAGCCTTGGCATAGATGGAACCCATTACTGGAGCAAGAACTGGGCCAAGGCAGCTGCATTTGTGACATCCCCACCTCTGAGTCCTGACCCGACCACTCCAGACTACATCAACTCCCTGCTGGCCAGGTTGGTGCAGGAAGGCAGAGCACAGGTGTTGTGTAGAAGCATCTTGAGACCAGCTGGGTGGGGACTGGAGCAGTTCCATCCGTCAGCTCAACTGGAGTCTGCAGTGGGAAAAGCACAGAGAATTCTCCAGTCTTGAGCACAGAAAACAGGCTCTTCCCCATCACACGTTAAGCAAAAACACTACAATAACCCTATCACGTGTTAAGCAAAAATACTACAGTAATAGTAAGAATGATAATAGCCACTTCTTTATGTGCGAAGCTCTGTGGTGAGACTACGTGCTTATTCCCATTTGTTCCTCAGAATAACTTGATGGGTGAGTCACTTGCCACCATTTTGTAGATGAAGCAACTGAGGATCAGAGAGTTCAAATAGCTGATCATGATGACACAATCAAAATGACAAGGACAAGGTCGGGCACATTCAGGCTCTCATGGAGATGGAGCATAGCATGATGGTTGCCAGAGTCTGGAAGGGTAGAGAGACCCGTGGGGCATAAAGCATTAACCCCCAGGGGTTAGTGGGTGGAAAACACATTTAGATAGGGTGAATAGGAATTAGTATTCATAGCACAATAGATTGACTGTAGTTAACAGTAATTTATTGTATGTTTTAGAAATGACTAATGGAGTAGGATTAGATGTTCCTAATAGATGATAAATGCTTGAGGAGCTGGATTCCCCCAATTACCCAAATTTGGTCACTGCGTATTCCATGCCAGTATCAAAACATCACATGTATCCCATACATATATACAGGTATTATGTACCCTTAGTAATTAAAAACAAAAAGAAAAACATGAATAAATGAAAATTATAGGGAACCTCATTTGTCGTCACCCTCTATGGATACATGGGATCATATCATCGCTCCTTGGAGCCCTTTTTTGTTTTGCGACAAAAGAGATGATCTGATCCCACACCCCTCACTTTCCAGATCAGCTAACTGAGCCCAGGGAAGGAAGAAACCCATATTAAGTTCACACAGCTAGTAAGAGATAGAGGAGGGGTTCTGAACTCAAGTAGTCAGAGTCCAAACCCTCACAGTGGACGCTCGATTCTGAGCCCCTGAAGAGCCCCAGCCATTTCTCCTGTTCACGTGGGGCTTTTCCCCTTTGCCAGTGGGGACCTACAGCTGTCTGGAAGTGCCCACTGCACCTTCAGCACTGCCCAGAAAGCAATTGGGAAGGACAACTTCACAGCCATTCCCGAGGGCACCAACGGTGTGGAAGAGAGAATGTCTGTCATCTGGGACAAGGCTGTGGTAAGTCACCTAGGTCATGGGAGGGTGGCCAGGGCCAGACCAGAGCCTCTTGCCACAAACCAAGCTGGTGATGCCGCCTCCATGCCACTCCAGGGGGTGCCAGGAAACCTCAGGCCTGCTGAGATATCTCTGGATCCAGGTGGCCCAGGTGGTTTGAGAATTTTTTCCTAGAGTGATGAATCATGAGGTCTAGGATGGAGGGGATCCCCTCATCTAGATTGTTAAGGACTAGGAACCATACCTATAACTCTGTTATCTGATTGTTTTAATTGATGTGTACTTAAAATAGTGAATCAATTCTTTTCTTTTTTTTTTCTTTTTTTTTTTTTTCACAGAGTCTCACTGTGACTTGGTAGAGTGCTATAGCATCACAGCTCCCAAGTAGTTGGGATGACAGGCACCCACCATAATGCCTGACTATTTTTTTGTTGCAGTTGTCATTGTTGTTTAGCTGGTCTGGGCCAGGTTCGAACCACCAGCTCCGGTGTATGTGGCCTGCGCCCTAACCACTGAGCTACGGGCGCCAAGCCTGAATCAGTTCTCTTTGTTTTGAGTGTCTCATGACTTCTCTTGAAAGGGCAGAATATAACCCTTTGACGTGATAAGCAATGAGTCTGTGCCTAAAGTCATCTGCTTATCATGGTTGCCCTGTAGTGAGGCCATGTGGTCATCCAGACTGTGCAAATGATTATCTATCAATGTCTTCTTGCCAGGTGGCCTGATTTTATTTTCCTTGCTCACATCACAAGGGAGGGCTAACAAAAGAAAGAGCCATGCAGAGACTCTCCCGGAGATATTAGTAAAGTTAATACTTAACCATTATTAAGTTGATTACTCTCTTATGTTTTATTTTAAAAACAGTAAAGACATTCTTCTGAAAGCCACATAGAATGTCTGTGAACTAATGCCTCATTTATTTACACGGTGTAATCTACCAAGTTTCTCTTCTTGGTTCCCAGGAAGCTCACATGAAAGAAAACAAAAATATCTCACAATTTCACAACCCAGGGAAAGCACTGTTATCATCTGGCTGAGTTCTTTCTTATTTATTCTATGTACATGGAAATAGAAACGCATATCTAATGGGTGGGATCATAATCACATTTGTTTTCACTGTGAATCTTCTATAATCCTTTTGAGAATTAGGCAGGGCATCGCTTCTCTCTCAGCCTTTTGGCTAAGATGAAGTGTAAAATTAGGAAGGGCAAATAAGTAAATGTATATACATAGCCATTAAACAGTGTGTTCTTCAGGACTAGTAACTTCTATGTTAACTGTGCGTTTGACCATTTTGCCTGAGTGGTCAGGCCAGCCCAGCTGATTTCCAAGGTTGCTAGATGAGGTTCTGGGCTCACCACCGCAAAGGCTCCCCTTTGTATTTCGGGGCCTTTGTGGTCATCTTCCTCTAAGCTCAGAAGTCCTGCATTAATATATGTAATTTAGATAGATACATAGCTATAGATACAGATATAATTTCTTGTATTTCAATAGGCCACAGGGAAAATGGATGAGAACCAGTTTGTGGCTGTGACAAGCACAAATGCTGCCAAGATCTTCAACCTGTATCCCCGCAAGGGCAGAATATCTGTGGGTTCTGACAGCGACCTGGTCATCTGGGATCCAGATGCTGTGAAGATCGTCTCTGCCAAGAACCACCAGTCTGTAAGGCTTGTCCTCCTGGAAGTGGAGTGGAATGAATAGAGAATGCACGGAAGGAACTTGGCCAGGAGAAATGTGTTTATGTGGTATACCAGGGTAGTCAGACTAGGACCAGTTGTGACAACAGTCCATCCCCAAATCTCAGTGGCTTAAAACCTCAACTGTGATTCTCACTGCTGCTTCTCAAGGCAAGGGGTCAGCAGAGGGGCTCTGCCCATCCTAATCTCTCAGGCACAGAGGCTGGTAGAGGTTCCCTGTCCAGCCTCTCCACGCTTGCTTCTGTGATTATTATGGCAGGGAGCGGGGCATGGTGAATGGTGCGCCAGTCTAAAAGCTTCCCCCCCGGAAGTGGCATCTGTCACTTCCTCTCACATCGCACTGTTCAAAGCAGCCCCATGGCTGTACCTAACTTCAAGAATGCAGGAAACACAATGTTACCTTCTGCTTGGAAGGAGAAGGAATGGGAAACAACTGGTAAACAGCATGGATGACTTCCTCATAAGCAGTTTCAAGTGGAAGATCATAATTACAGCCCAAGATCTAACAAAAATAGGCTTAATACTTATTAGTAAAAGTAGTATTTTTAAAGCACTTATGTTTCAGGCAGTATGCTTTTAATTCACTGAATCTTCATCACAATCTTCTGCAGGTGGGTGCTATTGTTATCTCTGTTTTATAGATGGAGGTACAGAGAAATTAAATAATTTAAGCATTCAAACCCAGGCAACGTGACTAAAACTGATGCTTTTAGCCTCTCTGCAGTAATGCCTCTCACTTGTCGAGTAACTGAAGGAGGCAGTGAGAAAGGTCATTTTTGGTGCTACTGTCCTTGGTGTAGACATCGTGTCATGTCACATTATTTAATCTCAAGCTGGTAGGAACCTAAAGGCTACATAACCCCTCTACCTACTCACTCAATATAAGGCTGCCACATACAGCATCCCTGGTAGTTATCCACCTTCTCTAGGACACTTCTAGTGACAAAAACTAACTCCCACGTGAAGGCCTTAATAAAGACTGGACACTTCTTTTTGCTAGAAAGTTCAGTCTCTACTTAGCGAGCATCTGTCCTTTGGTGCCTTATGCCACTGAAAGCTTGCAGACACCTGCTGAGCTTTTCCTGGCTTACCTGGCAAATCAGCCTCTAGCGACACTAAGGGCAGGGTTCCAAACACAGAAGGTAACCACATTCCTCTTTCTCCCCTTTCTGTACCCCTGCCCTGGCTTTGCCCCCTCACCCCGTTTCCAGGCTGCCGAGTATAACATCTTTGAAGGGATGGAGCTGCGTGGGGCTCCTCTGGTTGTCATCTGCCAGGGCAAGATCATGCTGGAAGACGGCAACCTGCACGTGACCCAGGGGGCCGGCCGCTTCATCCCCTGCAGCCCCTTCTCCGACCACGTCTACAAGCGTATTAAAGCCCGGAGGAAGGTATGACATAGGGGAGCCCAGAGCTGGGGCAAGGGCTTTGTGTCCCATTTAGGCTCAGGGACATGAGATGGGTGGGATGGGGGTGGGGAACTGTGTTCTCTAGACCCTCACAAAGAAACTGACAATTTTGTCCCTAAGAACAACTGCCCAGACATATTGTACTATTAAGGGTGAAGTTGAAAACTTTGGCCAAAGAAAGCTTTTTCTTTCCCCCAAATGATTTCCCCCACATTTTTATAGTGCTTTTATTTAAGATAATTTAAAATATGAATAATTTAAAATAAAGCCAGTATTTTATTTTAAATAAGTTACTCCTAAAAGCCTAAGATGAGGACCAGGAGTCCATACCCACTCATCCTTGTCCCATACCGTCCAGTGTGGCTCTCCTGGGACACGCACAACTTGTAGCTACTGTGGTTCAGATAAAATCTTGTGTTTTTATATATGTACCTACCTCTCTCTATAACACACACGTGTGTGTGTATATGTATATAAAACAAGGTAGTTCTAGTTGATTTAGAGGGGGAGGCCCAGAACTAACTCTCCATCTTTTCTCTCCTCTCCTCACCAGTCTCCAGGTCACCTTTATATATCTGTGCTGTGCTCCACAAAGCAAGGCTAGACCAGCCCTGGGATTGTGGAATTTAGCCCCACACTCCAGTTTGGGCCTAATAGAGAAGAGGGTGAAACTCACACCTTCTGAGTATCAACTCTGTTTCTATTACTGTGTCTTAGATTCTGCACCCAAAGAAATGTTGAGGGTCTGGAGTTAGTTGGTTTGGGGAGTACAGATGCAGTCATCTCCCCCCCAGAACCATTAGCATCTGCAGATCTGATGAGCTTTGCGTCTGTGCTCGCCCCTGCATCACTAACAGAGCAGGCTCCGTGGCAGGACTTCCAGGGACCCTGACTATGATGATCTATCCTGTGGGGCCGGGCGCACCTGGCAGAAAAGAAATGGGCGAAGGTTGTGTGCTGGCCAGCTGCTGCTGCCTTGGGTGGTCTTGCAGTGTTTCTCTTAAGGGTCTTAATATAGACCCCCAAGCCCCTTTGCTGGAGGTATCATGTTTCCTTTAACCATAAACTCCAATGCCTGGCACAAGGCCTAGCAGAGCATGGCCCATTGATACTGCTGGCTGGCTCCACAGTCCCAGGGCAAGTTCACAGCCAGAGGTCAGTGGGTCAGACCATAGGCAACTCATTTCCAGGACTGCCCACCCTGATCTGTGCTAAAGAGTGTGAGAGTGGAGCCCCCATGTGACCCGTCCTGCCAGTTAAGGCCTCATCTCAGACTGCTACCCATACAGTGTTGCCCGCTGTATGCTGTTCTCCTTGTAACCGTTTCCCCCTTGTGTTCTCTGCATGTCCCTCTGCTGGTGGTGCTGTACTCAACACCACTCCTCTGCATCCCCCTGGTCTGCCCCATCCCATAGCCCACAAAGGACCCATGACAGAGTCCTTTGATCCTTTTGATCGAAGCTCATCTATTTAGAGGGGCCCTCCCTGACCACCTCCACTGTCACCCTATCACAACACACCCCCTTCATTTATTTTGTACTACATCTCTCATTATTATTATTACTATTATTTCATGGCTCCTACTACACATACTTTATTTACTGATGTATTTTTGCTACTTAGAACAGACCCTAAGTTGTTGAGTGAACGAATGAATGAATGGTGACTCACTCTTCTCTGGCTGCAGATGGCAGACCTGCATGCCGTCCCGAGGGGCATGTATGATGGACCTGTGTTTGACCTGACCACCACCCCTAAAGGGGGAACCCCCGCAGGCTCAGCCCGGGGTTCTCCTACTCGGCCGAACCCGCCTGTGAGGAATCTCCATCAGTCCGGATTTAGCCTGTCGGGTGAGTGCTGTAAGCTGCAAAGAAAGGAGAGGGTCTGGGGAAGATCAGTTCTCTGAGGCTTGAGGGTGATACTGAGAGCTCAGCCCAGTGCTGGCGTTGTTTAGAGAGGTTAGAGGGCAAGAGGAAGGCTTGCTAAATTAGCAGTAGGTCCTGGTGAGATAATAAGAGAAGGCACAGTTTGGCTAAAAATCAGGTTTGAATGGTGACAAATTCTGCTTGGAGATCACACATGCATGAAGAGTGGGATGGGGGACTAATTTCCATTGTGACCTCATAGTAATTTTGTACATTAACCTATGAGAACTATGCAATTATCTTGTATTTTCTTGACCCAGGTTAAAAGATAACTCAGATTATTTTTAGGTTCAAATTGCAGTAGTTTCTTCTAACCTAGGATTTCGTTATTATAGTCTCCCGTCCCTAGTAATAATGCTGACAATTGCTACCATTAATTGAACAGTTACCATGTGTCAGCTATGTCCTTAATCTTATTTTTTCAGAATTCTCTGATACAAATACAAAGTAATGATCCAGTTGTTCCATAACCAGTAGTCTTAAGACAGGGAAAAGTAAATGTAGATTTGCGTCCCTGTAATGAACAGTTCAAATGTGACGGATGAGAATGAGAAAGGAAAGATAGATTTAATGGAAAGATGTATTTACCGGGAAATCAAAGCAGATGTGGAAAAGGAGTAAGGAATGGGAGAAACAGGAAAACAGGGAGAAAGAGGGAAAAGGGGACATGGGAGAAAAAAGACAAAAGAAAAGAGCTGAAAGTTTGAGGTATCTTTGCCAGAGGTCACGTTTTGCAAGCCCCAGCAATTTTTGTCAGGGTTTTTGCCATATTTTTTAATTGTTGTTGCTCCCTGGCTTCCTTAATTCTTAAGCTTTTGAGGGTTCCTTTCTGAATGGATGCACACACACTGATGTTTCCTTCCTTTTGTGCTGTACTCAGAGGGACTCCACTATAACGACTTTAAATTGTCAGGCCCTGTGCAAGTTACCTAACTTCTCGGAGCTTCAGTAATCTCTTTAGTAAAACAGGGGCAGTAGAGTTCCTCTCAAACCAGGGTGGGGAGGATTACATTTGATACTCTGTTAAGTGCTTAAAACATTGTCTGCCACAGTGAATCTAAGCAGTTATTTTTCATGTCACTATCATTGTTCATCTTCCTAATATTATTATTATGCTGAGGGGCAGAGGAAATCTAGATAAGATCTGGGCTTTTCCTACTAGAGAGTAGTTTTGCGGAGCCCATGAAAAGTCTAGAACGGCTGACAGACTGGAATGGAAGTATGCAGGGAGGTGAGGCCAGGAGGGCACCTCATGTCTTGCATTCTTAAAATTAATCCAGTTTATCTCTTGCCCACACCCCTGTCCTTCCCTTCTTTCTCGCTGGGAATTTGTTTCCAACTGCAGGCACCCAAGTGGATGAAGGGGTCCGCTCAGCCAGCAAGCGCATCGTGGCGCCCCCCGGAGGCCGTTCTAATATCACATCCCTGAGTTAAGCAACCCCTCCCCAAAGAGAGGGGCAGAAGCAAGAAGAGATTTTTTTGAAGCCAAAATGGTACACCGATATTTAAGAAGGAAAGTGAATCCAAACAGTTGCGATCTAAAGAATCAACAAGCCTCAAGCCTTATGTTTCTCCAATGTTATGCTCGCTTGCCTAGCTTTACGAATATTGCTTTGTTTTCTGTTTATGCATAGCCTTGATTTTTTTGGCCCCTCCCCCATTTACATGCATGCAATCGGACAGGCCATTGCGGTAAAAGAGTCTGCTATATTATTATAGTGTTGAGAGCGTGTGTAGTGCTGCATCTTACGACAAGGGGACAGGCAAAGCTGGATGTCAGGGAAATGGACAAAAGGGACACAGATTATTTGGGGAGAGCGGGTGGTGGGGGCCCGGAGCAAGGTGGAGGGTGCAGAGGGGCTGGGGTTGGATGTGGAGGGGGGAGGTGGGTGGGCCAGGTGAGAGCAAAGGGTGTTGTGTATTGTGTTGATGACATACGTTAATTTCCATGGGAGATGGCCACTTGTGACAGCTGTCCCTTTGGTATGGGTCCCTTGGGGTAGAGAAGGCAGGAAGTCTTTGGTTTCTGGACTTTGTCACGTCCCCTCCTAGTAGATTTTGTTTCTTTGAACATTTATTAAAATGCCAAAACCCAACTCATTTCTTCCACCTGCTTGATTGTGCCAGTGTTTGCTCAGGCCTCTTTCTCAGTGTTGCTTCCAAATCCTCCTTGTTCCGGGGCTGGAAAGGCCAGGCAGGGGAGGAGCAGGTGATACCTCTCCTCCTCTCTTCTCGCCCTCCCTGGCCCTCTGGTGCTCTTAAAAGCCAACAGCTGGTGGTGGTGATGGTGAGGATAACGACAGTTTAAAGACACCCCTCTCTAAACATGGCAAGAGCTCCTCTCTGCTGTCTTTGCAAACCAAAAAGAGCAGCATGCTTCCGCATCCCAAGTTAGGATTTTAGCTTAAATGGGCCAGAATGAAGGGCTTCTCTTGACAGTGGTGAATGCTTGATTCTCTTGATCTCCTGAGGGCCCTTAATAATAGGATCTTTCTCTCTCTCTCTTTTTTTTTTAGAATTGATTTTATTAGGCATTCCCTATCTTTTACTACTAATAGGGAATCTCATTTTATTGGGGTCAAGCAGGGCTTTGGGAAAGCCAGTCCTGAGGGAAGGAAGCACATTTGTGACTCTGGTTTTCCCATTCTAAACCATGGGTTTCCCCTCTCTTGAGCAGAGCCTTTGGGGAATTTTTTTGTCTCAGTACCAGCATTCCCGGGGTGAGTGGAAACTGCATGAGGGAGCCTTCCCAATGGATTGCCTGAGGGAAATTAGCATAGAGTATTCGCATCTGCCTTGCCTCTCACAGTTGACTTCTGAAAATTCAACTTTGGAACAAATTCTGTGAGCAAGATGAGGATGTGTAGAACCAAGACACCCATTTGCAGAAAAAATATATTCAACCTGGAAATCCTACCTCTGTGCCTTGAGGGATCCAGCTAGCAGAACCTGTAGCCCTGTGTACTAAGTATTTTAAAGAGAAGAGGGTGGTGCCTGTGGCTCAAAGGAGTAAGGCACTGGCCCCATGTGCTGGAGGTGGCGGGTTCAAACCCAGCCCCAGCCAAAAACTGCCAAAAAAAAAAAAGAGAGAGAGAGAGAGAAAGAAGAGCAGGGCTCATACAACTTAGGATTGCTTAGGAGAAACCATTATCTTTGCAAGTTCTAAAAGTTGAAGACTAGAGAAAAGCCAACACCTCACTACAAAGGAATTTGGAAGTAGCCAAGGAAGAGGATTTGCCCTAGCAAGCTACTAGCAAGCTTCTAATCATGAAAAAGCCTTTTTCTCCACTCATAATGGAGAATGTTGCTATTTTAAGGCTTTCATGGTGCTTTTCTGGAAAATGGAAAATGTAGCTGTTAGTTTACAATGCAGAGATTTGGGGGGCCTATCTTAGAGCTAGGAATGACAGTTTTTGTACTCAGAGGGAGTTTGCCAGATGGGAAGCATATACCTCATTGGCTGGGCTGGGCTTTAGGATAGGCTGCAGTTCCAGCCATAACCACCAGATGGAGGGAAAGACAGGTAAATAAACTCAGCTCTGAGCATCCACTGTGCACCATCTGCTCCTCCCTCCACGATTTCTCTGTGCCATGAAGAGAAATCTTCCATGGCCAAACACGTTATCTGCACTGCACTTGGGACTTCCACAACAGATCTTTATATTATACACAAGCTTTCCAAGCTGTAGGAACAACCCCTTCATGTCCTCGGGATGGGCACCATCTAAGGAGGCCTCTCTTCTTCACTTACTATGCTGACTTTCCAAGCATAGAAATTCCTGAGAATACCTAGAGAAACTGCCACCATTTTCTTAACATTGAGTACTGAGTGATATGTTGCTTGAGTTAAAATCTCTATTCAGATTTGTTCTGTTCCATACGTCGCATCAAACAGCCCTGTACAAAGAGTTTAGGAAAAGAAAACGATGGTGAGCCGTGGCCCTCTCCAAGTTCACTGGCACCTGATCGGGAAGTGGGAAGGCACATGGGCCTTCTGTCTCAGTCCCGAGCTATCATTTTGCCGTTTCATCCCTTGGCCCGCCCCTCTCTGAGTATGTCCCTGCCACCTCCCCCCGCCCAGTCCCCTGGCCTCCTCACATTATTTCTAAACCCGGATGGCAATCACTGTTCGCTCTGAGAGGGCCACCAGCTTGAGGAGTAGAAGAGGTGTTTGTGAAACTGGCAAATCAGCCACCATAGTAGAGCTATTTCTTTCGCTTCTAGATTTTCTAGAAAGAGCAGGATTATAGTCATCCCCAAAGTGGGTTTTCTTTGAAGTCCAGTCATCCTATGACCTTTTTCTTCATGGCTACCCCCAGAGTGTCATGTTCTTCCCCAAAGGCCTGAGGCCTAACCCTGGGCTCTTGCTCACCCTGCAAAGTCCTTTCCAGCAGGGTGATGACTCCTAGCTTTGGTTCTTGCCACAGCTTTCCAGGCTGCCGTCCCTGGAAAAAACACCAGCTTGAGTCCCAGATCCCCTCCGGGGCTGTCCCGGGCAGCCAGCGTTCATTGTCAGTTTCCTCTTTGAAACCTGGTGTGTGGGTGTTCAGTTCTGTGTCTGGTGGATATGGACAGACTGTAAACCTCCCGTGATCTGTGCTAGCTGTGAGGCAGCTCCGGAACGTACAGAGCTGTTTGGTTTGAACCGTGAAGAAAACTGTGTTTTGAGTTTAGCTGAGATTAAAGAAAACAAAAGTTCATTAAGTGACTGTTAATGTAAACCTGGTTATTAAAATAACTATGAAATTACCCATGTTGTTCTCCGGTCTTCCTCTGTGTGTGATGTGCCATTTCACCCAAAAGATTATAATTGCACGATATACTGAATTAGGTAGTGGCAGCAGCGGATCTGATGATGGCAGAATTCTCTGAAGAACATTTGGGTGGGGGGAGTTCTGTCTTCATTGAGGTTGCGCTGTTTGGGCTCCAGATTTTGATGACTATTATTGAAACTTTAGAGAATGATTAAGGTTTTTTTCCTATGGATCACAAAATTTTACCTGAGTCAAGAATAGAGCCTCAAAGTATAAGGACTTTTGTTTTGTTTTGTTTTTCTGGAGGGGAAGGATTTGCATTTCCTTAAAGCCCTACTCTTAGGTTGTTTTGGAGAAAAACTCAAACTAAGCTTGTGCCAAAGTACTACATATATCCTTTAGCAAACCAATCCCAAGGAGTCGAATGGGTGTTCAAAGGGATTATTTGCTTTCTCTACCCTTCTGAGAGCTATAAGGTACATACCAGCATGTTGAAGGGTCTGAGAAATTCTGTAATAAAAAGTGTTTCAAACTTTGTCCCATTCAGGGTTCTCAAACTTTTTTGATTTCTGAACCCTTCTATATCATCTTTTAACATCAGTCCTACCAGACCTTTTATACTAAGCCCTTTTGGAGAAACACTATCGCATCCAGTTCAAATTTGTGTGGGTCATTTTTCTCATTGCAAAGGTTAGACTAATTTAAAGGGGGGAAAATAATGAAAAAGGGAATTTATTTATTTGTTAAAGATGAGGGCTCATTCCTCTCATGCAGGCTGCATTACAGTGGCCTGGTCGTAGCACAGTGCAACCTTGAACAGAGGTGAGGATCAGCCTCCTGAGTAGCTGGGAGTATAAGCATGTACCACCACACCTAGCTAATTTTTATTTATTTATTTATTTATTTATTTTTGAGACAGAGCCTCAAGCTGTCACCCTGGGTAGAGTGCTGTGGCATCACAGCTCATAGCAACCTGCAACTCCTGGGCTCAAGTGATTCTCCTGCCTCTGCCTCCCAAGTAGCTGGGATTATAGGCACCCGCCTCAACATCCAGCTATTTTTTGGTTGCAGCCATCGTTGTTGTTTAACGGGCCTGGGCTGGATTTGACTTGCCAGCTCAGGTGTATATGGCTGGCACCATAGCTGCTTGAGCCACAGGTGCTGAGCCACTAATTTTTATTTTTTTGGTAGAGATGGGGTCTTGCTATGTTGCCCAGGCTGTTCTCATATTCCTAGGCTCAAAAGATCCTCTCACTTCAGCCTCCCAGAGTACTGCGATTACATTCCATAAGCTACTGTGCCTAGTTGGAAAGGAGAATTTTAACGTCTGATACATCCAAAAAGTGCAGGAATTAATTGTGGTGGACTCCTGTGTAACTGGGACTAATACTGAACTGATGTCAGAATGTGGCTTCTTTCCTTCTTGGCCCTGTGTGCCTTTAGTAAGTGCTTCCTTCTTAAGAAAGCTCTTTCCACACGTGGGGGCAGAACTGGCCACCAGTACCTCCAGGCTTCATTTTGCCTGCTTAGTGAGCTCAGAGGATGGTGAGAGAGTCCCTGAAAATTCTAGCTGAAAAAACTGATTCTGATTGGTCTGGTTTGGGGCACTTGTTCATTGAACTAGTGACCATGGCTGAAGAAAACATGGGACAAATTGACTATCACATACCTAGGCCCTGAGCCCTGTGAACCATTTGGACTCTCAATAACTTCTCAGAGAAAATCAATTTGTGATGCCAAAAAGGATGGATACTAGGAAGACAAAACCAGCAATGGCTATGGCACCATTCTCAAGCCTACAGGGCATGAATGTTTTGCTCAGTGATGCGTCTGTGTATATAGGTTGGGACAGGTGGGGAAGGAAATCAGAGAACCAGGGCATGGCAACTCCCAGTTAATTGCTTTTATACGTGGCAAGCCCCTCTTAGTTTGACAAAAACAATGCCTTTGACACCTTTGAACACAAAAGCCCAGAAATCAGACTGAAAGCTACCTTGACTGCGTAAAGAATTAATGATTTTACAGTTAAAGTTCAAGGTTTGATGTTTAGTAAGCTTTGGTCCATAGTCTTCTATGGCTCAGGACTAGGGAAACTCCACTCCCTGCAAGTAACCAAAGCAGCTCCTGAGCTCTGCTGAGGACTTGAGTGAGTTTAAACGGAACAGTCAGCATCAAAAAGGAACTCAGGACTCTAGAGAAGACAAAGAAGCTTTAAAAAAAAGTCAGAAAGTCGGTAAAAGATACATGTTGACTAACTTTCACACCTCTTCCTTTGGGCAGAAGGTATTCAGCGGCTGAGTCACATCTGACCAGGTAAGGAAGGAGAACACTGAATAGAAATAA